AAGCAACATCTGACTTCCCACATGTCCTCTGTTCAGCGCCGTCCTTAAAAAACCCACACGTTATAATAGACTTGGACTCGGACATGAAGTGCTTTGGACACACAGCAGCAGACTGACTGATTACAGTTTTAGAAGTGAGTGTGCGATCCAGACTTGGCTGCTGCGGCTGCGTTGCAGACGTCTGCGTGTGTCGCTCTACGTACTGGAGATGAATTGGTCGCTGTGAATCTGGAAGGTGATCTAAAACAGAACTAATTTGCCTTTTGTGTTTTTTCCTCAGCACATTTTCCCTCCCATGTTTTCCCAGTGATGCCTGAGTAATTGCTTGGTGATATCTGCACTCGGGGCTTTTACTTTGCATGTGTGTTGCATGATTCAGAATTGCCAACTGATCGATGGCCTGTGCGATTACAACCTCTTTGTCTGTGAACGCCGTATGATGGCGAGGCCCCTCGTTTATCCTGAAATGGCTCAATGCGTCATCTTCGGTGGTATAAATTAATTAAAATGGAAATGGAGAGCTTGTCTGTCTACATGGGCTGCAGTCATGAGATAGTGTTCTGCAAATGACTTTGTCTGCCGGTAAGTGTGCGCGATGAGAGCACTCGGTCTTGTGTGTTGTTGTCGGAGATGTCGCCCATTCATCATGGCGTGGTCTTGTCTTTTTTTTTCCTTCTTGCTTCTGCTTCTCTACAATCCGCCGCGTATTTACTTGGCGACATTTTAAACAGAAACAAGAAACCATAACCTGTGAAGCTGCTCCGTGTTATGATCCGAGGCCAAACTAATTCATGCCTGCCTTTTTCTCAATTAGGAAAATGTTGCTGATGGTTTGTAAGTGTGGAGCGCTTAATGTGTGAAACCCGTCTGTAATCGGGGTGCAGCCGCACATCAGGCCTGATGAGAGACTTCCTCGGCTCGCTATGCCCTCTGATGCAAACAGTAGCTGTCAGAATAGCCTTGATGTGTTCGTACTCTCGCTCCTGGAGCTTCTAGATTGGGTCTTTAACAGCCTTTTAGCAGTTGTTATCAGCTGCAGAGTAGCAGCGGGGCGAGCCTTTAAACTTGGGCAGACAACGTGTCGGAGTGTTTAGTTTTGTGAGATGTGTTAACCAGCTTCATGTCGTACAGGTCAGTGCTGCAAACTCCTTGTCAAGTCTTTTTTCCCCCCCAACAGACTGCTTTAATAAGGTTTATTCTGATAATATAGCTTTGTTTCTGGTGTTGATAAAAAGACAGAAAAGCTGCATTACGTTGTGGAGTTTTTGCAGAAACCTGACTTTTAGTATTTAAATAAGGTTGTAAAGAAGTCATTTTTTAATTTTATTTTTTATTTTTATATATTTTCTTGTTGAGACGATGAGTGAGAGCGTCGGGATGTATTTCTGTCTTCCTGACAGCGTGCTGGCATTTCATAGTGACGCTGAGAATTATGGCCAATTAGAGACGGTTGAATTTTGACATTTTTCAAAATGCCACCGACTGACACAGATGAGTTTAAATGCTCTTTTTTTGTTCTCCCTGCTGTACCGAAAATTAACTGTAACCCCAGTTCTTGGTACGCTGCAAAGCATTGATTTAGTGTACCGTTATACCCCTAATCTTTAGAAATAGCAAAACATCTACAGCCATGACTCTATAATCGACCCTTAACAATCCTAAACCTGCTATCCGACAGGCTTTCAGGAAAAACCAACAGAACCCATAAAAAACAGCCTTTAAGGGTTTGGGTTAGGGTTAAAATGGACTGATCAACTACTGAAGAAAACAAGAGAAAATTCAGAAACATAAACCCAGAAAGGGACCACGACTTCAACCAAGAACATAAACCAAAACGGACTGAAAAAATCAGAAACCAAAACCCATTCTGAAAAACAACATGACACCAGCCAGGACAACGTGACGACAATAGATTAATCAACTACTGAAGAAAACCAGAAACACTTCGAAGGCAGAAGCCCAAAGAAAGAGACTCCAATCTCTACTCAAGAGCACAAATCAGAACAAACTCTAACCTAACAGAGGAAGTCAGAAAACAATATTCTGACTCCGACATGACATTTAATGTCACCAATCAGGATGACGGCGTATTATCTGACTGAACAATCCCACAGATTGGCTACGTTCACACTGCAGGACTTGATGCTCAATGAGGATTTCTTTGTGACTTCCTTCACGTTTCCACTTCAATGCGACTTGTATGTGATCTGCTGTGTGAACTTCATACGACCCAAAAGTGTCCCGCGAGCGTGCTCAGTGTTTATGGAGGTAAACATGGATGGCGGTGGCGGCAGGGGAAACAGAAGTGTGAGCGCTAACTAAACTAGCATCAGCAGCCAAGTACTGCCTGTGTGTTCTGGACACTTCCACCCCGTCAGAGCGCTGCCCCGGGGTGGAAGTGTCCCCCGACCGCACTGAATGTTCTGATATTCATCATTAATTGAGTCCAGAAAGTTCTATTGGGACCAGCCCTACTAGTTATTATAACAACTATGAACAATAATGAACAACTAATGAGCCTTCCAGCATCAAGCCCTCCTCGTATCTGGACCTCCGTCTTGACAATCCGACAGCCTTGATATCCGACATAAAAGAAGTTTTTTCATTTAGTCTCAGATCATTGAATCACGGCTGTATTTGAAAAGCAGGCTCACGTTGTGCAGACTCGGCTTTGTGTACAGAAAGGTTATCAAGTTGAAGTAGCTTCAGATTCTGTCATCATCTTCTGATCCTTTAATCTCTTAACTTGTTTCAACCCGCTGTACACACACACAGCATCTGCATCTGCCTCCCTCCGGTGGGTCAGCACGAGTTATTGTTCTGTACTTTCCCTGGAAGAGTCACGCAGAGTCGTTTCCCAAGAAACTATAGGGGAGTGTGAAAAACATCGGCGAGGCTGCATACAGGAAGGAGTGATCGAGGACACGGAGCAGTGGAAGTGCAGCGGATGTGGAACGCCGCGGTCATACAGGGAAACTCTGCACCTGTGTTTGGAAGCAGCTCGAGGCTTTCAGTCTGCTCGCTGGGAAGGCTCAGCATGTTGCGTTTCCTTATAGACTTATAAAATATGAATTGCATCACATTTGTTTGTGAAGACGGGCTCGACTAACGGGGAGTGCATGCTGCATGACTTTACAGGAAGTCGGCAGTAAGTTTCAGCAGATCCTCCGTTCCTTTGAGTGTCAGTCATCGGAGGGATTCTTTCATCAGAGAGACACCTCGATGCTGTTCAGTGTGCTATTTAAACACTGGCTGTGCTTTCTTATGAAGTAGTGAGTAATCCTTACAGGAACCAAACGCGCTGCTGGGGGGTGGGATGCGACCCAGAGCTTAATAACTGGCTGCTGTCGTCATCTCTACATGTTGACCATCAGGTTTACGTCTAACGTGCTGCAATCTGTGTTTAGTCTCCAACTAAATGCACTGAGAGGCAAACTGATACGCGGAGAAACCAGATGTTTGTTCATACTTGGAATTGGCAAGTGGCGAGGGAAAAAGTTTTCGAGAGGAAGATTGGAAGTACAGAGAAGTTCAGTCTTCGTTACTTCTTCTTCTTCTTCTTTGTCGTTCTCCCTTTCATTCTGCAGCTCTCACTGGAAGCCAGCGCTGTTGGTGCCATATTTCTGCTTCTGTTTCTGGCAGTGTCTTTGTTTGATGGAAAAAAAAAACGGAAAAACAAAAAACAAGTCTTTTTCTTATCAAGTTTTATAAGCCAGGAAGGACTGCAGCTAACAATTTTCCAGGGTTCCTGAGCAGTATAGAAGACTATGTAATTTGATTTAGGTCATTTCCAGGTCTGGAAAGTATGGAGGGGGGAAAAGAAAGGAGCGTATGGAAACATCTCCTCCAGTCCAGAGGCATTATGCTGTCAGGTCGTCTATTCATCTGTTCCATTGTCATTAATGCAACACCTCAGGAACGCCACGAGGGAACCTTCTCAAATTTGGCACAAACCTGGACTGGAGGATGAAGTGATTAGATTTCGATGGTGACCTCACAAAACACGTTTCTGTTCCTAACTAAGTTTCACGCAGGTATCTAGTATGACAAAGTGATTTGACGTCATAATGTTCTGTTCAAACAGTTTCCTGGCCGTTATTCAGCGCTATAACTCAGGAACAGAGGAAGAGATTGTGACCATATTTTACATTTGGTCAGACACTGATTACGTTTTGGATGCTCGACTGTTATTCCCTAGTTTTCCCTCCATGTGTTGTTTGAAGCTGGACAAACCTCGAACTGCAGTTTTCAGGAGTAATTTTTTTGCATATAACAGTATTTGTTCAATATGCTAAGAGAAAATAATACAAGTCCTCTTTGGGCAGAGATCATTTGTGCTGTTCTTTGGTGTTTACTGTTTTTTCCTTTTGCAATTTTAATGAAAATGCTGCTTGAACTAAGAGAGCTGCAGTCACAGACAACACATCGTAGCACGCACAGTCAGGATGTAACATACATGTCAAAACCATTTATTCATGAAGAAACATCTACCTGCACTCAGATGTCAAATGTGGTCTGAAAATCTACAGAAAAGGCTGAAATTTAAGTCTGATTGTAGGAAAACTGGCTTTCATTATCAACTCATTGTTTTCTCAAAAAAACAACAACTACTAATTAGTCGCCTGTAAAATGTTAGAAAACAGTCCAAAAATCCGTTGTTTAAATGTCTTGTTTTGTCCAACCAGCAGCCTAGAATTTATTGACATTCATTTTATTTAAATGGCAGTCAGATTTTTACCTAAATGCCAGACTTAACTGACAGTTGTGGCAATGTGAGTAACTGGAAACCTCAAATATCTGGCATTTTAGCTTAAAAAAAAAAATTGCTGAATCTTTTTCTGCCAATCAACTAATTGGCTAAATGTGGCGGCCGTACAGATGTGCTGCAGATGTGAGTTTATAAAGTTTAGACTTCTGACTGTCACACTATAATTAGTTGAACTTTGCCATTTTTACATATTTATCAAATTGTCCTGTTTTTGTGTTGGTGTTTCTTTCAGGAGTGTGGTTCCCCCTGGTTGAAGACAGCATCTGTCCACCCACAGCGTTGCCGTTGTGCCCATGAGGTAACGTCGGGATCTACCGGCCCCTCATTACCACCCTCGGTCCGTCCTCTTCCCTCCCCTCTGCCCCATCCTCCCTTGGATCCACCCAGCCATGGGCCAGAAGATCTCGGGCAGCATCAAGTCGGTGGATGTGCGTGGGGAGCCCTCTTACCGGCCGGTGCGTCGTGAACTGCGGGGTCCGGACTTCTGTCGGCCCCCCAGGCTGGACTTGCTGCTGGACATGCCAGCGGCCAGCGCCGAGGCTCAGCTTCGCCACGCCTGGAACCCTGACGACCGATCGCTCAACGTCTTTGTTAAAGAAGACGACAAGCTGACGTTTCACCGGCATCCCGTAGCGCAGAGCACAGACTGTATCCGAGGCAAGGTGGGCTACACCCGGGGTCTGCACGTGTGGAGGATTCACTGGCCGGCCAGACAGAGAGGCACCCATGCTGTCGTGGGGGTGGCCACCGCCGAAGCACCTTTGCACTCAGTGGGCTACACGGCCCTGGTGGGCTCGGACTCTGAGTCCTGGGGCTGGGACCTGGGCCGAAACAGACTCTACCACGACGGGAAGAATCGGCCCGTTTCCTCAGCGGCGCCCACGTACCCCTGTTTCCTGGAGCCAGACGAGTCGTTTGTGCTTCCGGACTGTCTGACGGTAGTGCTGGATATGGACGAAGGGACTCTGAGCTTCATGGTGGACGGGCAGTACCTGGGAGTGGCTTTTAGGGGGCTGAAGGGCAAGAGACTTTATCCCATCGTCAGTGCCGTGTGGGGGCACTGTGAAGTGTCGATTCGCTACGTCAACGGACTCGATCGTAAGTGCAACACACACATACCAACAATATTTCTAAAGAGGTGTTTGTGTAACTGTGGTTTACTTTTGTCTTTAACTTCCTTTCAGGGTCTTGAATTGTGTCTATTAGCTGACTGGCACAAAAGATTAGTGCCATTATGTTGTTGATTTGGAAGCTAAAGTCCAACTTCTGTCGCATTTCTTTGCATTCTCTCCACCGTCTTTACATGTCGGCTCCAACACCTGCTTTTCCCTTCTGCTGTTTGTTTGCTGACATAGCGTGGAGTATTGGCGCTGTATAATTTATCAAAACGCGTTAATTGGCAACGTTTAGAGCAGCAGTTTCCAAAGTGAGAGTGTTTCTTCCTGATGGTGCAGGACTTTTTTTTTTTTTCTTTCCGTCTGACGGAGCAGCGTCTTCCTAAACACGCCGTCGGTTGCTTAGAACTTGCATCTGTTTGATGTCAGAACTGTGTTGATCCCTTAACTTTCCAGGCCAATCCCTGTTTTTGTGCAGTCCCTCATTATTAGAACCTGCCACGCCGCTTTTCAGGATCATGCACTCGTCTGTGCTGATACCTGTTTGAACTCGATTTCTAGTAAACATGCACACATTTATATATCGCTGTAGTGACTTGCACTGCAGGAAAAGTCACAGCTCTCTGTTTACTGAATCGTCTTTAAGGTATGAATGCTATTCCCATTTAAGAGTTCCTGTTTGCGTCACTGCAGAAATGTGGAAAGCAGTTCTTCACGGTGTGGAATTGCTTTGTTTATGGCTTCAGTTCAAGGTAGACTTAAATGAAGGCCTGATCCGTAAGGCCCGCCGGTGTGTTTTGTGCTCTGCTGTCCAGTGACAGAACCACAGGGGAGAGGAGGAAGAGAGAGGCCATGTTGATGCTTGAAAGGTAATGTGCAGTCAGTGTGACATTCGTTATTGGCTCTGACCGGTAATGTGTGACTAGTTGTGCACAAAGTGCTCTTGTTTTGAAGACAGAGAGCCGAGTCTGTATCAGGCGACTGACTCATTTTGGCAGCTTTCACTAAACTCTCTGGAGAAGTCAGTCATGCAATCCTGAGCGTGACTGAAGCGATGTCTTTACAGTGTGAGATGTGTGAAATATGGGGAGTTTTTACTATTTCAACAAGTGCATCCGTAAGTCGTAACTGACGTGGATAGTTTCCAAACGCTCGGCGTGACTCTCCATAAATGTCAGGCTGTAAGGTTTGACGCAACACTGAGGAGGCATGTTGTCCTCAGAGAGCACGGAGGATGGGAACGCCGTGCACGTTTGTATGCACTGATCTATAAAAAGCCCACAATGAGCAGGGCCGCTGCTTTGTTTACCAACAGGAAGCAGCTTTAACGTGCTCCCTGTACTTCCATGTACCGCCGCTACTCTGCTGTCTTCTTTCTCTCCAGCCTTCAGTCGTCCTCGCATTTTCACACATGCAGAGCAAAACAGGAAAACTGCATCCAACTGTGATGTAAGAGGAATATCGGTTTCAGCACTGTCCCACCGTCACCATGAAGACCAGAGTGTGTGTGTTAACCTGCCCTTCTCGGTGGTTTTCAGTGCCCTGTCGCTCTTTTCTGTTAAATGTCATCACTCCGACTGGCGGAGTCGTCTCAGATTGTGTAATGGCCCTCGGTTGTCCCTCCGGCTCCAGCCTGCATGTTGCACAAAGACCCAAAGCAGGCTGGGGGCGTTGCCGACAGTGTGGCATGGACACCGTGTCCATGGCTGCGAGCCATGAGTGTGTATGTGTGCTTGCGGACAGCAGACTGTTGAGGGGGAGTTCTGGAAGATGTCCCAGTGTGCCTCTGAGCTCAGCGTCTGGCCTCGCATAGTGGGAAACCTCAGGTTAGCGTGTGTGACTGTGTGTGTTTGAGCAGCTTATGTACACATGATACACAACACTTAGTCTTTTTCCACAAACACATAATACAGTAAATGATCAGATGTTCGTAACTGTTCCCTGTTTTGTGGGATTTTCTCACCATCTTAAGCGTAATGTGTCCTCCTGTGTTGAATCCATGCAGAGCGTCCAGCATCGTGAGCGTTTGTGCTCGTACGCTGGCGCTTCAGCGTCGCTCTGCAACCTAGGATGCTGTGCTGAGTTTCAAATCAACTTTATTGTCATTTTGCTTTACACGCACAGTCGTACAGGCAAGATGGGAGAGCGTTTCTTCAGGAGCAGTTGATTCGTGGGTTTCTTCCTGTTCTTCAAACAGTGGCGGCTGGAACTGAGCTGATTGTGTTGGAGTTGGAACGAATAAAAGTTGAGCAAAACTTACTTTTACTGAAAATACTTCAGTGCAGGTACGAGAGAAGGTGTTTGGACAGAAGCTGTGACGACTAAACTATGGCATCCCACTACATTAGCAGATTAAAGGCTATTGTGTTTGCATTATGAGCGAGCAAGATGCAATTAGATATATATATATATTTTTGTATTAGATTAGCTTCAACTGTATTGTTATTACACATGTGCAAGTACAAAGCAACGACATGCAGTTAGCATCTAGCTAGCATCTAACCAGAAGTGCAATAGTGCATATATATATACACGCACACACATATACCGGTACATAATGTGTAACAGTAGTCAACAGTAATGAATAATTAGTGCAGATGTTGGGTACATGTTGGTGAGATGGTTTTGGTGGATTTGTTTCACCAAAGAATTCTCTTCACGTATCTTTGGCGCCTTGCTGCTGAGTGGAGCGGCCATTCATTGCAGTCTGCACCGGTCCAACGTGTCATTACATTTCTGGTTCTGTGCACGTCAGGCTGTGGCATAGATTAAATGTAGAATATAAGTAGCGCTCGTCCATGTACAAATACAGACAGCTGCTTCCTGTCCAGTGCTAAACTGGGGAAAGTTGAGGGACATGTTTCCTGGTGTGTGCCCTGTTTCACACACTCTGAGATTTAACACTTGGCATGTTTGATGTGTTTTTCTTTTTGCCCCACAGAATATTTAATAATGGCCTTTCACTGCACAAAATGTGGCAACAAGGTTGTTTGTGATGCATGAAACTCTCGATTAGGTATCATTCTTTTATGTCTGGTGTCAGTTTGGTCACAAGCACAGTGTAAACAGTCAACATAACAAAATCAGAAGCAGAAAGAATCAGGATGTATGATCAGTCTGTCCACTTGGGTAAATGTAGACAATAGACATGAACTTCTGTCTGTCTGCTTCATATGTGTACGCTCAGGTCGTGTTTCAGGAAAATGTGATGCCAGGTTTTTTTTAACAGGTTTGGACCTGGTAACATTTCTTTATCATTTCAAATGGCACAAGTCCTCCACAGGATGTTAAGAGGAGCTAAAGTTTGTGGCTTCCAGCTGCTTAGAACTATTCTCTCATTGTATTGAATACCTGCAGCACCAGACAGCAGGAGGATAAATATGTGAGTCTCCAAAGAGAGGGAGAGAGCTGCGCATATTTGTGCCAGTCGAACAATGGTATTAAATTATGAAATCAAAAATGATAAATTGTCCCCAAACTAACATGGAGAGGGGATCCGTCTGGGCCAGGATCCAACAGCGAGTCCTCCTCTGTGGGCGTCAGACAGGTGAGCTGTCACACACACAATGACAGTTTACTTTCCAGCTGTTTAGGGCTGTTTCTTTAAAGTTTATTGCAGTACAACACGTAGACACTGTGTGCACTGTTCTATCAATGAATCAGTCGGTAAGCTGAGACGTGCATGTGTAACGTGATCACTTTGCTTTTTGCAAAACTAGGAACGCTTGGAAATGGGCAAACACTTTGCTGATAGAAACGGCCCGTGGTGCTCATCTGTAAACCTGAACCACTTTAATCACATCACTCTCTTTACTCGTACGTTTACGTCTGCCGAGCACAATGCATGTGATATCAGCTGATTTCAGAAGTCGGAAATGTTCAGAGGAGCATGTGTTCTGACAGAATGCACACGAGAGATCAGTGCGTATGATATCGGCCACATCTCGGTGTGATGTGCAGAAGAATGGAAGCATCAATATGTATGCTGGGAGATGGCGCTGCTCCCCTATTCCCCCGTCTCACAGAGGATTCACTTTTTGTTCACTTTCTGGATTCTTGGTCTTTCCCTTGTCTTGTAGTCCATTCACGTTCTTTTTTTTTTTCCTCCCCTCCTCCTCCCTCCTGCTCAGACTCCTTTATTCTCCATCTCTTGCTCCCTGGGAAGCGAGGAGCGATAAGCATCCTCATACGTTTTCTCTCCTGTCTGTATTGTCCCTTAATACCCCACATTAATTCGGGTTTCTCATCCTTGCTGTGTTCCACTCAACACTTCAGTCCTTTGGCCTTCAGTCCCAGAGATACTTCAAAGCCAGCCCCACTGAGACATGTTCTTTATCAGTTTTCATACCACTGGCTCTCTATCGTCTTTAAGTAGGAAACAATGGGGCTGCTGGATCCCGCCGTCCCCGTCCTTCCATTCTTGGAAAGCCGTCTTATTCTCTCCACCACAGCAGGTCTTATGACGCCCTGACCAGCGTGATGGCAACAAGCTGAGCGACCCTCATTTACACCAGAGGAGAGGAAGTGTTTCACACACACTACTGACATGCTTACCCTCCCCTTTTTGCAAATGAACCCTATTTGACTCCGACTCTCATTGTGTTTCATCACCTCCCTCCTGCTCTTCTTCTTCCTTTTCTTCTTTTCCTCCTCCTCCTTTTCAGCACCGGTCCTTTCTTTCGGTATTTACACACCCAATTGTGGTGGCAGGTTGCTGTGGAAACACTTCAGCTGACTTCTCTGTGACTAGGTGGGTGGTTAATTGTTGACCAGGAAGCTTGCTCACTAGTTTGTTGGCCAAGGGCTTGCCCTATGCAAATGGGCATAGCTTCCTCCTGCCCGTCTGCGGTTCAGAGCTGTTAGCGATATTCACAGCACAGATGCAAGCTGTAACTTAATCTTAGACCTCGCATTAATTAAGGTGGAACTGATCCACTGCTTTACAGACTCCTACTTTGGATGAAAAATCACTTAGTCAGTGTT